CTGCACGAGGCCCCAGAGCCCGGAACGCCTCTGCCCCAGCCCACAACGAGGCCGTGCGAGGCCGCCCAGAGCCCACAACGAGGCCCCAGAGCCCGGATTGATGCCACCCCAGTCCGCAGAACCCCAAACGAGGCTTCCAAGCCCAAAACGAGGCCGCCAAGCCTGGCTCAGGGCTCTCCAAGCTGCCAGAGACCAGTACAGGTCCATCCAAGCCCACAGAGCTCTGCACAAAGATGTTTCACCCAGCACAGACTCGTGCAAAGCCATCTGAGCCCACAGACCTCAGCCCAAGGCCACAGAGCCCGTAAGGCTCAGGCCAAGGCAAAGTCTGAATGGAGCAGGGAACACCAAAAAGCATTTCTATATCCAAACTAATTAGACAGGTAACGACAAGCTGTTCCTTTCCTTTCTAGCATACCATAATCCCACCTCTGGCCTGAATATCCCTTCAAACAAGATCAGCACCTCCAGCATGTTGTCACCCTCTCTGGCATTTGCTCTCTAGATTCCCCTGGCACGTCCTTTCCGCCTCCAATCGGTCAACTTCACCATGCTGTTTGCCAAAACCCAGTGTAAAAAAAGGAAAGGCAGCTTTGGTAGTGACCCTTTCTGACTGTGGTGGCTGCACATAAGGCCCCCAACTAGTGGCTTTTGGAGACTTTCGTAGCGAACCACCTCTGGCGTTTCAGTAGATGGCAGGTTGTCGGTGGCAGCAATCCTCCGCAAGGAACACTCCTACCTTGCTTTTTAAGGACCGTGGAAAGAGCTGAACCTGCTTCCAGGACTTTTAATTCCGTGCCAACAACTCCAGAGTCATATGAGGGCCCGCAAGTCTCTCCATCCCCTGCACGGTGTCTCTGTCCGGTCAGCACATGTTGCCTGCCATCCATCCCCTTTCCGCCTCTGCGGCAAGGGACAGCAAACCGTCCTGCTCTTATTGTAACCTCTGGGGAGGGGAAGAAACCCTGTAACCCAGTATCTCCCTGCACATTTGCTTTTTCAGTGTCACGTTCGCGCCGCGTTCGTGCCCTGTACGGAACATCCTGGCCTCACCCTCCGCTGTAATAAAGGTTTCTGCCGTGGCTGCCCCTGCAGCGCTCTTCCACCAAGCAGAGACCAAGGGGAACCGAGGG